GCCCCTTGTTCAGAACTGCTCCCAGGAGCAGGGTCCTGCCTGCTGGGGCTGAGGGGACCAGGCAGGGATGCACTGTGTCCTGGGCAATTTCTCTCACAACAGCATCACAGATGAAAAGAGGGATGCTAGCATGGCTTTGAGTCTCTGTCTTCAGCAGAGAGACTCTGCTCAAGCAGAAGGTTCATGTGATCTTTCTGGTAGGTAGATCTTAAGCAAGTAAGGCACTGTAGGCATCTCCTTTATAACTAGACCTGTTGGTTTAGGTCTTCCAGATGCATTTTTCTCTCCCCTGGACCCTGGAGGGGAGCTGGACTGCAGACAGATTCCCCATGGTCCTTCCTGTCTGAGCACTTGGTACCAGTGTTGTGGTGCCTAGGTATGCTTTTGGGTCATCCAGCAGCCTCAGATGACAGAAGTGTTGCCAGAAGTGGAGTTAGGACACACCTCAGAACATGTTCTCTGGAACATTTTTATTTGAATATACTGTTTACTGCTTTTTAAATACTGGTTAGTGCTTTTAAAAGGTGTGACACTGATTCTAAAGGAATTGCAGGTAAACAAAGTTTTTATTACCATAAATTCTGGCGTTGTAACACTAAACTCTAGCCAGAAAATTAAAAGATGGTAAATTCCCTAAAAGTTAGATCTCAGGGGAAAGAAAAACCTCTTCAGTGGAAACTCAGAGGGTAAGAGGGATAAGAATATTGATCTCTAGGATGTTATTTATTGGATGGTGTTTGAAAGCCTGGACTGACGTGATAGCTTGTTAAAAAGAGCTGACATTGCAGTTTTGTTGTTACTTAGTGTAGTGCAACTTTACAAAAGCTCCCTTAATTTCTCATAATCCCTGTCCTCAGCAGTCACAGAGGCACTGTTTTTCCTGAAAAGAGTTTGTCATCTTGATGCTTTTGATGATGAGGTAACGTGAAGAAGTCAAGGTGTAAATACTAACCATTGGATTCAGTTGTTAGATCAGCATTGGAGCAGTTTGAAAATTAAATGTGCAGCCTCATATTGGACTTCTAGTGTCAGAAATGTCACCCTCTAGAATAATGACAGTTGCCAGCAGGCAGCTCAGCAATACAACTCTGACTACAAAATATGACACTAATACAATTTAAACACACTGCAGAATGCTACAGGGTGAGAGAACTGATTCATGTGTGCTATCAAAACCAAATTTTAGTATTTGGTCAGGACAATACATTTCTTTGTTTGGGAACATTTAGGATTGTTGGGTGCATTTTGTAAGACCTTTAGAACAAACATAGTAATTTTTCTTCCCAGTTTAAGTGCTTGTTGATGCTGCAGCTCTCCTTACAGATGCCAGCAGGCAAGTCTACGTGTCTGCTTGGAGTTAGGGATGGGGCTGGGGAGAGCAGGTACCTCCCTTGATCCAGATGGAGTTAAATTACCATAAACCCTTCTTGGGAAGCAGTGGAATCTTCAAAGCAATTCATGCTCATCTCTTCATTATTGCTTATGTGCTAGAGTGATTAATAAGCAGTACAAAGATCCCTTTGTCATAGCTCTTAAATCTATATAATGACATATTTGTTTTCTAAGCTTTCATGAAGTGTGAAGTTTGCATTTTTGCAGGACACCACTATTCACTTACCTGAAGAGTGCTTTTTAACTGAATCAAGTAGTTAGTGAGCATGAGAAGACAGAATTGAAAGAAAAAATGAACTGAATATTGTCCTTATTTAATAAGGCAGACCAAAACCAGAGAGGCCTATCACAAACAAACCTACAAAACAGTGGGTTTGGGTTTTTTTTAAGGAAAACACTTCAAAGCACAAAGTTTAAAACAGCAAAGTCCTTTCCAAATCACAAAATCCTTTGTGGTTTATCACATGACTCTTCCTAAGGCTCTGGCCCCTTATTCTGTGTTTGGAAAGAAACTTTCAGGAAAGAAGATGAACGGAGATGAAGCACATTTTACATGGGAACTCCAACGTGTAGTTTTAGTGCTGGATGTGTCATGTGTATCCATGTATTTAAAGGCATATTTTTTTTGTGCATTGGTTACATACCTATTTTTTTCCCCCCACAGGTAGTGAAAAATGCCTAAAAAGAAGACTGGTGCTCGTAAGAAAGCCGAGAACCGTCGTGAGCGTGAGAAGCAGATAAGGGCTTCAAGAGCCAACATAGACTTAGCCAAACATCCTTGTAATGCTTCAATGGTAAAATATCCTAAAGTGGTTTATGCTTGATTTTTAAATAACAAAAAAGCCAGTGATAATACATTGACTCTGGTCCCTTCCAACCCCCTTCATTCTGTAATGCCACTAGAATGTCGCTCTTCCTACCATCTTTCCTTTATGGTTAAGGTTACATTTGCATCAGAGGTATAATAATTGAATAAAAAGGTTGATTCCTAATCAGAACTTAAGTTGGAGTCCCTTTGGGGTCTAGATTTTGCATATTTTAACTGGAGTAAAAAATAATTATCCCTATTTCTTTTTTTTAAGGAATGTGATAAGTGCCAAAGGTAAGCATTTTTTCCCCTTTTAAAACCAGTAGTTTAATATGAGTTGGCTGCAAACATTTAACAGGGTGTTTTTAATGCTTGCTTTTTTTTCCCCTCCATACCTAGACGACAGAAGAATAGAGCTTTTTGCTACTTCTGTAACGCTGTTCAAAAATTACCCATTTGTGCACAATGTGGTAAGTAGAAATAATGAACAAACCCATGCTGTTCTCAGTCCTGTTTATGGTGTTAAACTCTCAGCAGTTAAAGTGCCTTTGCCTTAAAGTACCTTTGTGTGTCTTCAGGATTTGGAAGAATTTGTCTCCCTGACTTTTAGGATTGAGAACAGACTGACCATTTCCCCAGACTGACCACGTGGAGTGTTGTTTAATAACAGCAGCAAAGTTAAAAACCACCAAGCTCCTTGTTTTTTAGGGATGATGTAATCTCTGATTACTTCAATTTCAGTCAAAGCAGCAGCATGCCATTCACCTTGTGTGGTTGTGTAAAGTGCTGTTCCTGTTATTTATGTGTACTGGAGGGCTGATGCTTTGAAATCAGAAGAGAAGGACTCACAGTGACAGAACTCAGCTCTGAATCAGGCTAAAAGCCCTTTGGTTTTTCTTCTAAACTGCTGCTTGCTTGCAGGGGCTGATTATCCTTTCATACTTTGAGGTGAATTTTGTTGTTCTGCTGTTTCAACACATCCGTGCAGATTTTCTGTTTGGCATTAAGCAATTTGGCTGTTTTGTAGCTTGACTCTCAGAGCTGCTGAGATCTGCAGCTTCCAGTGTCTGTGTTTGGACCTGTAGATACTGAGCATTTCTGGAAGCCAGGCTGTTAGTGTGCCACAGCACTGTCATCCTTCATAAATCTTCCTTCTGTCATCATGCAGTGAAGTCCTAAAAACTTGCTGTCTATCTTACAGTATATTATACATCTCAGTTTTACTCCTATGGGTTGAATTTATCTTAATCTGCAGCATGTTTCTGGAGGAAGAGCATTCCTAATAACCACAAAATTATATTGACTCAGGGTTTTCCAAGGCAAATATCATTAGACCTGTTTGGTGCTTAATGAGGCATCTGGGACAGCCCCTATAAACCAGCAGCATCTTTCTTAGATAAGTCCCACCATTGGGACTTAAATCAGTGGTACCACTCCATTGCAGTAGCCTGGGCTAACTACAAGATCTTTTTGGCTTGTATAACTCCCTGCAGAGCATGGGTCCTTCTGGTAGAGCTGTTTCTGTCAGAGGCAAGGAGTAGGGGAAGTACTCCTTGAAGTACTGCTCTTCCATGAAAATTCAGTATAAATTAAGTATAAATTTTCTTCAGGATGGCTTTTTTTTTTTTCTACAGGAAAAACCAATGCATGATGAAGTCTTCAGACTGTGTTATAAAGCATGCTGGTGTGTACAGTACTGGCCTAGCAATGGTGGTATGTATACAAAAGCCTTTTCTGCACTCTGAGGGTATTCTAGGCAAAGCTGGCTGAAAAACAATGAAACAGATTTCTGTTTTTTCCCCCCCCTCATCTTATCATAATAAAATGATTTATCCTTTATATTGGAAATGCAAATTTCTTTGTTCCACACGGGCTGAGGAAGCTTCTTAAATGCTACAATTAAGGGATAGTTGATGTGGAGTTCTTGTAGTTTAATCAAAATGCAAGTTAAAGAGTCCAGCTTAGTTCTAACAAGTTGCTTGATCTTTGCAGAGCTTGTGTTTTAATATAGCATGGTTTAAAATCCAAATGAGTGATTTCAGCTCTAAAAATCTAGTGGCATTTTTCAGGTATCTTTTGAAATGACATTTTTGCCAGAAGGTGATTGTCATCTCTAGATCTCAGGTTTCAGCTGGAGGACAATTTTCACGCATAAGATTTAAGATGGGAAATTTAAAAAGCAGAAAGGTGGAAGACCAAGTTATTCTGCTTTATATTTAATCCTGCAGAAATGAATATCAAACAAATAAGATCAACTGTGGAGCAGCTTGGTAGCAATACAGATGCAGTTGATGCTCTCTCAAGTGGGATGAACCCACTGAGAGAACGGATGGTTGGATATGTTCAGGATTACAGAACAAAAGACTTCTGCTATCCCTAGAGAGACTCAAGATGATATCTTTTTGTAATTGCAGGGTGCAATCTGTGACTTCTGTGAAGCTTGGGTGTGTCACGGGAGGAAGTGTCTCAGCACACATGCCTGTATCTGCCCTCTGGCAGATGCAGAATGCATTGAGTGCGAAAGGAGCGTCTGGGACCACGGTAGGAGGATCACACTTAGGAGAAAGTCTAAATGATGCTTTCCTCCTCACATGGCTTAAGTTATTGTACCTGTATTCTTAACACAGCATTTTTAATCTTCCCTTATTCATCCTTGAAGTATGGTTGTTCAAAGGAAAGCACTCTCCTCATTTTAAACATAGACCTTATGCAGTGGGGAATGTAAATGCCCTGCTCAAAACCATACAGTGCTCAGCTCAGGGATGGTTTTGCAATTGGAAGTATTAACTCTCCTACTAGCTGAGTGTTTCACATAATGAAGCACTGCATCAGGTAGTCAGCACAATTTTCTGCCATCCCCACTCCATTCCTCTGTGTAGTACAGGTATTTGGATTCTTCAGCACTTAGGAAACCATATGGATCTCCACAGTGGAATCCTTTCAAGTGTTTATTAAAAGTGTGCATCAGAGGTGAAGGGGTGGGAGGGAAGGAAAAAGGACAAGAGAGAATGTGACCTGAGAAAAGTACTTAATACCACAGCCAAGTTAAAATGGAGTAGAAGTAGTACTTGGTTTAAATACACACTGTCTTGTACTGTAGGATACACAGTGTGATGATGGATGCC